GTAGGGTGCGTGCGCTCGCCAGACAGACAGAGACAGAGAGACAGAAAGTGAGAAATCACCCCCCAGGGGGGATGGTCACGCTGCAATTCCTTCTCCTCCATTCTCCTCTCGGGATCTTGGGCATGCATGCACACGCGCCCGGCGTGACTTTTAAGCCACCGGGTCCAGGACACAAACCGCGGTCGACTACGTGGGAATCCAGCGACATAGCCATTATGCTAACTGCTGGTTCCCAGTATTTTGAAACTTTGAAAGTTGTTTGTAAACTGTCAAGAATTATGGAGTATGAGCTAAAATTCTTTGCTATGTAAAGTAAATGTGGAAAAATGTAAAATAAAAACAAGTTGTAATGGAAAAAAAAAAAAGAAAAAAGAAAAGAAAAAGCAGAGGACATACCTGAAGTCATGCTAAAAAAAATCTCTACTTTGATGCTGTTAGAAAGTACTTAATTAGATACTACAATATTCACGTTTAGTAAATTGAGGCCCCAAAAATATAAACAAATTTTTATAAAATTGCATTGCTTGTTAGTGATAAAATCAAAACTATAACCCAATTTCCTTCCTTTCAGTCCAGTGCTTATGATTTTAAATATTGTAATAAAAATAGCCAAATATAGTGTTCAAAAAAAAATGAGGACTTTTACTACAATCAGATAAAAACAGATCATATCGAGACCAGCAGAGGAAATGTTTCTGAATAATGTAAAAGTATATGGTGATGGTTTCACAAGTGTATATATCTGTCATCTTAATTGACTTTTAACTCTCATTGAATATATTTTAAAGTATGTATTTTGTGGAAATTGTGCCTCAATAATAATTCTAATTTAAGAATAAAACGATACTAAAAAAAAAAAAAGAAATATAGGACATAAAGAACAAGATAAAGGACAGGCCAGACTTGTAATTAGCAAAATCCAGACAGTGGGGAATTCAAAGATAACCGACCAGGTTTATTCAATAACAGAGACACAGAAAAGAGAGACAAAGGTAAAAGGAGAGCAGTGGAGGAGAAAGAGGCAAAGAATCTATAGATTAAGAAAATGGGACCAGTAGTTAGCGTAAGAGCTATGTCGCTGGACTCCCACATAGTTGACCACAGTTTGCGTCCCAGACCCGGCTTAAAACTCACGCCGGGCGCGTGTGTGTGCATGCCCAAGATCCCGAGAGGAAAATGGAGGAGAAGGGATAGTGGCATGGCCATCCCCCCTGGGGGGTGATTTCTCGCTTTCTGTCTGTCTGTCTCTGTCTGTCTGGTGAGCGCACGCGCCCTGTAGCAAAAACCTCTATTAAAAAAAAAAAAAAATTAAAGCAGCATAGTAACTGAGGCCAAAAGGTGGCATGGCAGGTGGTTAAGACACTGGACTCTAGGGGTGGTGTAGAATGGCCCTTCTGAGCAAACATGGTGACCTTCTGACAGATGCAGAAACGTGGTTCAGAGAGCTGTCATTTGCATAACAATGAAGGCAATTAACATGTGAACATGCTATGTGCTTTATCGATACTGTAGAGCAGTATCAGGTTAAAGGAAGTCACATGTGTTTATTAGAACCAGCCCAAAAGATCAGAGAAATCACATGTCAGTCGTTCTCACATCATCAGTTGATTAGCATTTGAGACCTGGCTTTGCTTTCCATTTCCTCTTCCCCCATTTTCTGCCCTATAAAATAATAAACCTGAGACAGGTTCATGGTTGCGACTTTCTCCATCAGAGAAGTCTGGCCCACCCTGTTAGGTCAGACCTATGATCGATCAGCAGTGGAGTCAGAGGCAGCAAGGACAGGAGAACCAGAGTCAGGCTCAGGATTTAGCAAAGCTGGGAACCAGCAGTTAACATAATGGCTATGTCTCTGGACTCCCATGTAGTCGACCGCGGTTCACATCCCAGACCTGGTGGCTTAAAACTCACGCCGGGCGCATGTGCGTGCGTGCCCAAGATCCTGAGAGGAGAATGGAGGAGAAGGGATTGCAGTGTGGCCATCCCCCCTGGGGGGTGATTTCTTGCTTTCTGTCTCTCTGTGTCTCTCTGTCTGGCAAGCACACACGCACTATAGCGAAAACCTCTCCAAAAAAAACGGATTTAGCAAAGCCAATAAAATTAATTCTGCGAAAAGCTCTTGGGTGAGGTCCCCACGGTCTCAACGGGGTGGGGGTGGGGCAGGTCACACCCAGGGTGGGTGGTGTTTGTTCTTAAAGGGCCACTGTCCAATAGATTGTGGTCACAAGTCCTTGTCTGACCAACAAAGGTAGCTGTTTCTGTTCAACTTTGGCAGGCGTGTCAAATGCTGAAGGCGGGGAAAGTCTGTTGCCTATGGCACACCAGATGCAGAAAATGGGAAAGTTCTGCCAAAGGAAAAATTCTCGCTATGTTTCTTTTTCCTTCCCCCAGGCCCTACACACCCCATTTTCACTTTTCTATACTTGTATGTCTTTATGTGTTTGTTTATTTCTAATCCATAGCCCTCCTTCCCCTCAGAAAAACACATTGTGCAGAGCAGGTCTCAGCAGGCCAGCAGGTGGCATGGTGGTTAAGGCACTAGATTCCCACATGGTCAACCATGAGTCTCAGACCTGGTGGCTTGCTTTCTCATTTTCTCTCTCTCTGGTAAGTGCACATGCACTATAGCAAATTAAAAAATAGAAACAATAAAAAAAGACCTTGAACTCCCACCTGGTCAACTGTAGTTCGAGCCCTGGATCTGGCAGCTTGAAAATCATGCCAGGCATGTGTGTGCACATGCCCAAAATCCTCAGAGGAGAATGGAGGAGGAAGAGTTAAAACATGGTCCTACCCCTGGGGGTGATTTCTCACTTTCCCCCTTCTCAGGCTAGCACACATGCCCTATGGCAAAAACCTGAAAAAAATACAAGGCAGCACAGTAACCTACAATTTATAGATGTTATTTGGCTCCTTATTTGAATAAACAGTCAAAAATCACTTGAGATCGTGGGACCAGCAGTTAGTGTAATGGCTATGTCACTGAACTCCCATGTAGTCAACCATGATTCAAGTCCTGGACCTGGTGGCTTAAAACTCACGCCGGGCACGTGTGTGTGCCCAAGAGCCCGAGACGAGAATGGAGGAGAAGGGATTGCGGCGGGGCCATCCCCTCTGGGGGGGTGATTTCTCGCTTTCTGTCTGTCTGTCTGGTGAATGCATGCGCCCAATAGCAAAAACCTCAAAAAAAAAAATCACCTGAGATCATCAGAAAATGTGAACACTACACTAACTGCACATTTTATGATATTAAGGAACTACGAGTTTGTGTGATAATGATACTGTAAAATTTTTAATATCCTATGTTTGGCCATATACACCAAAATTAAATTTAGAGAGGATAGGATAGGATTTCTGAAATTGCTGGAGTGGGAACAAGGAACACATGAGATATAAATCAAACAAGACTGACCACAAAGTCAGTGAGGTCAGTGGGTACTGGTCAATGAGAACAGGGAGAGTTCATTATTCTCTTATGTATGTTTGAAAATGTCCCACAAGAGCCTAAAAACATTTTAAAGTTTACAGAAGCATTAAGACAGGCTGATTTCTGACTTGTTTACAATTTATAGTAATTAGAAAATTTATCTAATCATAACTTAAGTTTTTGTCTTGCATCTTTAAGGAGTATCTTTCAAAATACAGCTTGCACTCCCATTAACATGTAATTACAGGGTACCGGCAGGTGGTGTGGTGATTAAGGCACTGGACACTCCCACATGGCTGACCACGTCTGAGTCCCAGACCTGGTGGCTTGTTTTTTAGCTTTCTTTCTCTGGCCAAATTAAAATAAATAAATTTAAAAAAAAAAAAAAAAATAACCACGGTGATTTTATTTTAAAAACCCATGTAATTATAGACATCCATTCTGCATAATATTCTTTTAAAAATTATTTTTTCCCCATGAGTTTTGCCACTGAAAGACAGAGAGAGAGAGAGGGAGAGGGAGAAAGCAAGCTGCCACATCCGGGACTCTAATCACAGTCAGCCATGTGGGAATTCCAGTGACTTCACCACCATGTCACCTACTGGCCTCCTGTATAATACTTTTATTAAAAATTTTGTTTATCTACTTATTTGACTACAGAGGAAAAAAAGAGAAACAGAGAGAGAAAGAGAAAAGGAGGGAGGGAGGGAGAAGAGAGAAAGCAAAGTGCCAGGCCCAGGACTCCAAACCTCAATTGATCATGTGGGAGTCTAGCACCCTTAACCACCATACCACCTGCCAGCCCCCTATAATACTTCCTTATGTAAGCGCTGCAACGTCTAAATTCCTATGATGTTCTTTTTTTTAAAGAATTATTTATTTAATTCCATTTGTTAATTATTCTTTCTTAATTTGACCAGAGAGAAATGGAAAGCAAGAAAGCAAGCCACCAGGGCCGGGACTCGAACTGCATCAGGCCATGTGGGAATCCAGCACCTCTAACCACCACGCCACCTGCCGGCCCCCCTGTGATGTTCTCTCTATACAACATCAAACACAATTATAATTCAGCTTACCTGGGGCCAGCAGATGGCATAATGGTTATGTCACTGGACTCCCATATAGTTGACTGCAGTTCGAGTCCCAGATCTGGTGGCTGAAAACTCACACCAGGCATGTATACGTGTGTGCCCAAAATCCCAAGAGGAGAATAGAAAAGAAGGGACTGTGGTGTGGCCAACCACCCTGGAGGGCGATTTCTTGCTTTCTGTCTCTTTCTCTCCAGTGGGTATACATGCCCTATAGCAAAAATCTAAAAATAAATAAATAAATAGCCTTTCTGGTGGTGACGACCTCCCCACGAGAACATGCCTCTCGCAAAGGACCTCCTTCATCCCTTTCCCGAAGAGAGGAAACACAAGAAGAAGCGCCTGGTGCAGAGCCCAAATTCCTACGTCATGACTGTGACGTGCCCAGGATGCTATACAATCACCACCGTTTTTAGTCATGCACAGACGGTAGTTCTGTGCCTTGGCTGCTCCACTGTCCTCTGCCAGCCTTCAGGAGGAAAAGTGAGGCTGACAGAAGGACGTTCCTTCAGGAGGAAGCAGCACTAAGAGCATCCCGACCCAAGATGAGTGGGAAACCATCCCAATATTGTCTTGTTTAACTGCTAGGAAGTTCCTGCCTCAAGTATTCGGGGCAACCAGAAGAGTGGAACACAGAGTCATTTGGGGCAAGGAAGCTGGCCAAGTACTTTAAAATCCACTGGGGACATTTGTATCCATCTAAGCTCGTTTGTTCTTGATTAAAAAACAAAAAATAAATAAACTTACCTAACAGAGGTCAGCACCTAAAAAGCAGTACACCATCTGACTAATACTCAGTTTCTGACACACAAGGTTATTCTTTTTTTTTAAAAAAAAAGCTTTATTAAGTACATTTTCATATTTAGAACTTCCACACTTACAAATGTGATTGGATCTTTAGAATCATAATTTATTATTAAAATACACAACTTACATAGAAATACTAGAAACTCAGTCTCCAAAATACTCAGTAAAGATGTTTGGGTGACATTTATAGAACTGACCTAGCAGTTTTTTTTTCTCTTTGGCAGACAGTTTTGAATCCTCATCAATAGTTTTTAGTAAAGTCAACAGTTCGCCTTTGGTTGTCTTCTGTGTACTGTCAGCATAGTCGCTTTGATCAATTCTCTGGCAGTAAATATATCCTTAAAATTGAAAGGTATACAGTTTATTCAATTAATTACCTTATTCCTCATTATTAATTAGAAAAAGGCAATTTTTTTTCATAGTTTTGCTATAGGGCGCTTGTGTTAGCCAGGAGAGACAGAGAAAGAAGGAAAGTGAGAAACCTACCCCAGGGGACGACCACAGCACAGTTCCTTCCCTTCCTGTCTCCTTGTGAGATTCTGGGCACGTGTGCACACACCTGGCGTGCTACTCAAGCTGCCAGGTCTGGGACTCACACTACTCAGTCGGCCATGTGGGATCCAGTGTCTTAACCTCCACACCGCCTGCTGGCCCCAGGCAATACTTTATGCTTTTCTTCCTACGTTTGTAAAATGCATTGAAGACCATAAGCACCACTGACTTTCTAGCCCCGGTCAAGGTGCTTGTTGACAACACAGGCTCTCTGCTAAGTCTGGACAACATGCGGCAGATGTCTAGAATTTAGAGGAAATGAAAAGTGCAGCTACGGGGACCAGACAATGGTGGAGCACTGACAACCAGGCCCACATGGGCAAGGCCCGGTCTGTGACCTGGGCCTGTTTGTGCAGCCGTAATCCAGGCTGCCTGAGGAGGGGACGGGTCAGGGTGTGGGGACCCGAACAGGGGTGCTTGTCTCTCTCATGAAGTGTACTTTTAAAGAATTATAGTAAAGTGTAACTACTTATAGCAAAGCATTTTCAAATAAACTGTAGGAGTTTGTCTTTGGAAGATTATGAAATGCCGTTGCTCGGATTACCTGTGTCTCTGTTTGGATCTCTTCCTTTCTGTATGGCTGTCAGTTTAATGCTGACGATTTTATGTAGAGTTCCAGGAATCTTAACAAAAAGAAGGGACACAGGAAATTATTCAAATGCATTTTGATCTACTGATGTATGGCAGAAACTCAGTTTAACGACTGGAGTTTTACCTTGAAAACATCTTTTTGATGATCCATTAAAAAGAGTACCAGAAGGTCAGTTTTGCCTTTGGACAAGTTTTTATTATCAACAATAGCTTTTGCAAATATCCTTTTCACAACCATTCTGTTGTCACTCTATAAAAATAAAACAGAACACACCCCATAGTATGTTTCTAAAAGACTAAGTTTAATATAAAGAAATATGAACTGTTAATAGCTACTATCCATTTCAGCATATTGATGGGGGAAGATGGAAAACCTGACACGTGGGTTCTGGAGTATTAAGGAGGCTGAATATAATTAAGACTTAAACAAAAGACTTACTTCTTTCTGTAATTTAAATTCACAAGGATGGGCTGCAACAGCCATGAAATACAGCAGTCTTCTGAACTCCTCTCTATTTTGGGAATCCAAAAGCTTGAGGAGGAGTTGAGTGGCTTCCAGTGCTACTTCAGTCTTCCCATTCACTTTAGCCAAAAAGAAAAACTACTTTCAATGACGAAAAATGGCAGTATTAAAGGGAACAAGATTAAAATTATGGCTTAAGCTAAATAGGATGCTTATCTGAAATTATTTCCCAAAACAAGACTAGGAATTACAATGAAGAACCCATGCCATTGTGGTAACCTGTACTCAAATTGGCGGCTGATACATGGAATCCTTGCCCTGTAACGTGGAGTGTCAGCTCTAACCCTGGGCTTTGCAGATGAACTCCCGCCTTGGTTTTCATTGGCTGGGTATGTTTTGGAGTGTTGTTCTGTGTGCGATACTGACATATCCAACTCCTCCGGAGAATAACAGAGGGTATCTTGGAAACCCTGATTTGTTTTCAATAGACCACGTGGAACAACGGCAGAGGCCTGCCTCTGGGGAGACCAGGGAGAGTGGTGTGCTGGTAACTCTTCAAAGCAGAGACTTCTAGGCTTGAACTTCTGGTGACTGAAAGAAGCTTTCTCCAGCGGCAACGACGAGTTTCTGAATGACTTTAGAACTTGTTTCTAAAGCCTCTTTCCAAATGAGACCTATCATATGCTAGTGATGTGTGTAATTCTTTGTAATATATGGCTAGATCATTATCACAGTTTAAAATGAACATACTTTCCACAGATCAATCCAGATCTGCTCCCAGCTTGAACTAATACTGTTTTGATTAATTTCAAGGAAAATTAACTTTTTCCTATTTCCTCCAAAAGATAAATTCTAGTATCCAATAAGATCACACTTACCCAAGAGTTCTGCAATTCCATTATGAACATCAGAGAAATGATTTAACAGAGGTTCCCTATTGCTGTAATGTTTGCTGATGGCATCAAACAGCAGTTCCTTCACTAGGTCGGTTCTATCAGGTTGTGCAGGAAAGTTTCTGCTGACATCCACCACCATCTGGTCTGGGAGGTATTCTAAGCAGTCAACGGCTGCAAAGAGCCACTCATCTTCTCTAGGGGTGAGGAGGAGAGATTACTTTAAAAGGCAAAGAATAACAAAATACACATAATTCCTAATTTACTTTTTCTGCTTGCTACCTGAATGAATTTTGACACACTTAATGATATGTGTCTTTTTTTTTAAGAGAGATTTTTGTTAGAGGGTACATGTGCTTCCCAGATAGACAGAGAAACAGAAAGTGAGAAATCACCCCCTAGGGGGAATGGCCATGCCGCAATCCCTTTTCCTCTGTTCTCCTCTTGGGATCTTGGGCATGCACACGTGTTCGGTGTGAGTTTTAAGCCACTGGGTCCAGGACTCAAATCTCAGTTGACTACGTGGGAGTCCAGCTACATAACTATTACTCCACCTGCTGGTTCCAACATGTGCAGTTCTTTTAATATATAGCTAGATCATGTAAACCTCACATATCAGTTTAAAAATTCAACTTAATATGTTTTATTTCTTCTTTCTTGGTTATGCGCAGAAATAGAGGCTACCCACTATGACACAGAGGTGAAAAGGACCTGGAAACACAAACTCTGCATTCATATTGGAGAGTTCATGCCCCAGCAGGACCAGATCCCAGGTCTAACTCCTGGACCAGAATATCTTCAAGGCAAGGTTGCTTACTTAGCACTTTGCATATGACCTGTCAGCTGTAGCCCCAGGCGGGAACAGAAAAGAGATAAAATTCCAAAATAACCACCAATTACAATGTAAATGGCACTTGAGGAACTTTAGAAAAATGTTACATTTCAAGAAATAAAATGGTGGGATCAGCAGATGGACTCATGATTAGGTCACTGGACTTCCATAGGCTGACTGCAGTTTGAATCACGGACCCAGCTGCTTAAAACATACTGGGAAGGTGTATGCCCAAAATTCCAAGAGGAGAATGAAGGAGAAGGGATTGTGGCCATCCCCTGGGGGGGTGGGGTGATTGTGGCCATCCCCCTGGGGGGGGGTGATTTCTCGCTTTCTATCTCTGTCTCTGTGTCTCTGGCAAGTGCTCACACCCTACAGCAAAAATCTGAGGGAAAAAAAGAAATAAAATGACTAACTTTTAAGATACAATGTGTTGAGATTTACATTTAAAAAACAAATCATGTTCTCTACTGCCATGCCCCAGGTGAGTGATCTCAGGCAGGTCACTTCACTTCTCTGGACATTAGCTTCATCAAGTGTATAAGGTGCAGCTAGATGATCTTTAGTCACTTCTAGCACAAATTCTGATTATGTATGTAAAAGATTAAGTGTAAAATGTTTTCATGTTACTTTAGGTTGTAGTAACATAATTTAAGGTTTTAAATAGACTTCTATTATACGTGCTAAGGTTAATAACTAGTACCCTGGGATTACCTTTTTCAGGCAAGGTGTTTCTGGGTTTTATTGAGAGACAGTTTTGCTATGGTGCCTCTCAAACACACGATCCCTCTGCCTCAGCCTCTAAGGAGCTGGGATTACAGATGCACACCACCACACCCATTCACGTAAGGTTTTAAACCACCTTTTGACGTCAACTTTTTATATTAATAGTTCACTGGAAGCTAAAACTAATAAAGTACGTAAAATGTAAGCTGTGGCCCTGCCAGTGATGTGGCGGTTAAGGCACCTGGATCCCACATAGCTGGCTGCAAAGTTTGAGTCCCAGATCTGGTGGCTTGAAAAACACGCCAGGTGCGAGTGTGTACATGCCCAATCCTGAGAGGGGACTAGAGAAGGGACTGGACCTGGGCATCCTCCCTAAAGGGTACTTTCTCACTTTCTCTCTCTCTTCCCCTTTCTCCCCCAAAAGCATACATGCTCAATGTCCAAAAAAATGACATATTTAACAGACATTCTAGAAGAGTATAAATACATATATAGTCAAAGGATTCCAAGAATTTATCAAATCTGTTAATTTTGTTCCAGGTCCCTTTTCAGAAACTTAACAAAGAATATGTGAAAGAAAATGAGTAAGAAATTATGAAATTTAAATCTTTCTAAATTTTTTTATTTTTAAATGATTATTTATTAAATTTTATTTATTCATTCATTTATTTTTAATTTGACAGAGAGACACAGAGAGAGAGAGAGAAAGAGGGGAAGTGAGAAGACAAGCCACCAGGTCCAGGACTTGAACTGTGGTCAGTCACGTGGGAGTGTCCAGTACCTTAACCACCATGCCACCTGCTGGTCCCAAATGTTCTGATTTTGACTAAGGTAATTTTGTTTTTCAGTTTCTCAAATACTGGTAATATCAGCTGACAATGCATTTCTTTTTTTTAATAATTACTTTATTTAACTTTATTTATTATTATTTTCCAGTTTGATCAGAGAGAGAGGGAAAGTGAGAAAGCAAGCCATCAGGTCCGGGAACTTGAACCATGGATGGCCATGTGGGAGTCCAGCAGCTTTAACCACCACGCCACCTGTCGGCCCCTGACAATGCATTTCTTATCCAATGGAAAGCAGGATTAAAAAGTTAATCTAGGAAACCAGCAGTTAGCATAATGGCTGTCGCTGGACTCCCACGTAGTCGACCGTGGTTCGTGTCCCGGACCCGGTGGCTTAAAACTCACGCCAGGCGCGTGTGCGTGCGTGCCCATCCCCCCTGGGGGGTGATTTCTCGCTTTCTGTCTCCTCTATGTCTCTCTTTGTCTGTCTGGCGAGAGCACGCGCCCTACAGTGAAAATCTCTCCAAAAAAAAAAAAAAGTTAATCTAAACCCATTATCTATAGTCTTGCTAGAAACACACTCAAATTACTACTGTATTTCCACATACTGAGAGTCTCTGTAAGCCTTGAGAACCCCTCGGTCCAGAGAGTTACTGTTGTTGACCATGTCGGGCTGCCTCTTAGGTTGAGAGACTTTAGGTACAATCTCTTGCTGTTTGAGTAAGGAGTCAAGAAGTGGAAGGTCTACCAGCTGTAGTAGACGCCCAATTGTCTCTTCTTGCCATACTTCATTAACAACTACAAACGAAAAACGACAGGGTGAAAGTAACAATTAACAGTTAATATGTGCTCACCATCACGTTTGTCTAGGCATGCCTAAGCTTATAAATCTGTAGGCAAAAGACAGAAAGAAAAAAAAAAAGACAAGAAAAAGTCAACCTTCTGAAGTGCTCTCTTACAACAATGAAAACAATCTAAGATTTGTTTAAAGTGTAGGAGAGTAGACTTTGGACGACAGAAATTCTTTCCATTCTTGGTACTGTAAAAAGCAATCTGTCAGAGATAAGAGTTCAAGTCATATAACATGTTAACAAGGACTTCGGAAAGAAGAATGACTCATTCAGTCTAAAAGCTGGTCTGAAACTACTGGCTCCAAATTACTGCACTCAAGGCTTCCATGACTGGACCAGGACGGAGAGTGGAAATCAAAGTCATTAAACTATATTCCTTTGCCACAGGCAAGAAAGAACTTAAGAATTTTGTTCATGTTTCAATGCACTTTTCAATTTTTTTTCAACCTAATAAAATCTTAGGGAAGGAACTCTCTGAAGAGTACATTTTAAGTTAAACTCTGCACACAAAACTTTCAGATTTGACTCTCTGCCAGCTGAGGACAGAAGTCAGTGTTTCAGAGCTCTAACACTCATCTGTTTGTTAAGAGAATAGACTTCTGTTGGAACTGCACATAAACAGCTTTAACACATAGTGCACTCTTTCTCTGTGCTTGAAATATTTAAATTCTAGTAAAGGGTAAGATCGAAACATTTTAAATAACTTTGTTTGAAGTTAGTCTTCTATTTCTTACTTGTGTTATCTTCGGCTTACCTTGGGGAGACAGGGTTGTAGAGATATTGCCATGCAGGGATTCAGCAGGCTTTAAACTCAGATTTCCCCACAGATCCTCTAAGCTGGTCGACTTGATCTCAGATGACTTAAATAATGTGTCTGCATACCTAGGGTGAATTTATTCTGAAATTACTGTTTATTAGTAAACCTGTACAAGGGTTTTAGTGTTTAGGTACAGAGTTTCTAGAGCACTTATGTAATCAGAGCAAAAACATAGCAAATGCAAATTTTAGGAGAATAAAAATTTAAAACTCCCCACTTTCTCAAAATTAAATATATATTCTATAAATAAATTATATGAAAATTTACTTACATTTAAGAAATTCAATGACTACAATTTTGATCACCAATTTAAAAAATGTAACCAAACTTTCTTAAACCTGTTTTTTTTTTAATCAGTTATTTATATTTCTAGTGCATTCTTTGGTAAATAATGCTCATCATTTCCCAAGTACAGATCTACAACCCTATACCTGCAATTCAGAAACCCTAAAAGTTTTGAAAATCAAAACTTTTATTCAGAACTGAGAGAGTGACAAAACCTGTCCTGAGACTACCCTAGCCTTTATAATCCCAGTTGGTACGAAAATCCTTTTGTTCCCCTCAGAAACATTAATATGCTGTCATCAGATGCTGTCCCAGATCCTACCTCTCCGGGTAGGATACAATCCATATGTACAAAGCAGCTTTTCTAAAATCGCTGAGTTCTAGATTCCTGAATGCAACTGGCCCATGGGTTTGACAGAGCGCCGGGTCCTGAAACTTGCATCCGGACTGCCCTACCCTCCTATAGACAGGTGGTATATTTGATGTTTCAGGCAGAGTTTTAGAAATATCTGCAAGTCGGGGGCTGGCAGGCGGCGTGGTGGTTAAGGGTCCTGGACTCCCACATGGTCAACTGAGGTTCGAGTCCCAGACCTGATGGTTTGGTTTCTCTCCCTTCTTCCCTCTCTTGCCTTCCCTCCCTTTTCCTCTCCCTCTCTGGTCAAATTAAAAATAAGTAAGTAGGGGGACCAGCAGGTGGCGTGGTGGTTAAGGCGTTGGACATTCCCACATGGCCAACCACGTTTCGAGTCCCGGACCTGGTGGCTTGCTTTCTCACTTTACCTCTCTCTCTGTCTCTCTCTCTGGTCAAATTAAAATAAAATGAATGAATAAATAAAAAATTTTAAAAAGTTAATAAGTAAAGTTAAACAAAATAATTCTTAAAAAACCCCAAAAAACTGAAAGTCAATACACTAACACTCTGACTTCTGGTCAGATCAGAATTCTAAGAGCTTCAGTTACATTTTTGTGTCACCTGTGCAGTTTGGCTGAGGAGAATAAAGGGAAAGTTACTTCACGACAAACAACCAATTTCATCACGTAGCAACATCCTTACCCATTTCGGTCGCCCATTTAGGTCTTGCGTTTCCCTGTGAGATCCGCTGCTGCTTAGTTCAGCCCTCACCTTCTGTAGACTACAGCAGGCAGCAGGCTCCTCACTGCCTCTGCCTACAGGCTGGCAACTTAAATATATATTCTATAAATAAATTATATGAAAATTTACTTACATTTAAGAAATTCAATGACTACAATTTTGATCACCAATTTAAAAAATGTAACCAAACTTTCTTAAACCTGTTTTTTTTTTAATCAGTTATTTATATTTCTAGTGCATTCTTTGGTAAATAATGCTCATCATTTCCCAAGTACAGATCTACAACCCTATACCTGCAATTCAGAAACCCTAAAAGTTTTGAAAATCAAAACTTTTATTCAGAACTGAGAGAGTGACAAAACCTGTCCTGAGACTACCCTAGCCTTTATAATCCCAGTTGGTACGAAAATCCTTTTGTTCCCCTCAGAAACATTAATATGCTGTCATCAGATGCTGTCCCAGATCCTACCTCTCCGGGTAGGATACAATCCATATGTACAAAGCAGCTTTTCTAAAATCGCTGAGTTCTAGATTCCTGAATGCAACTGGCCCATGGGTTTGACAGAGCGCCGGGTCCTGAAACTTGCATCCGGACTGCCCTACCCTCCTATAGACAGGTGGTATATTTGATGTTTCAGGCAGAGTTTTAGAAATATCTGCAAGTCGGGGGCTGGCAGGCGGCGTGGTGGTTAAGGGTCCTGGACTCCCACATGGTCAACTGAGGTTCGAGTCCCAGACCTGATGGTTTGGTTTCTCTCCCTTCTTCCCTCTCTTGCCTTCCCTCCCTTTTCCTCTCCCTCTCTGGTCAAATTAAAAATAAGTAAGTAGGGGGACCAGCAGGTGGCGTGGTGGTTAAGGCGTTGGACATTCCCACATGGCCAACCACGTTTCGAGTCCCGGACCTGGTGGCTTGCTTTCTCACTTTACCTCTCTCTCTGTCTCTCTCTCTGGTCAAATTAAAATAAAATGAATGAATAAATAAAAAATTTTAAAAAGTTAATAAGTAAAGTTAAACAAAATAATTCTTAAAAAACCCCAAAAAACTGAAAGTCAATACACTAACACTCTGACTTCTGGTCAGATCAGAATTCTAAGAGCTTCAGTTACATTTTTGTGTCACCTGTGCAGTTTGGCTGAGGAGAATAAAGGGAAAGTTACTTCACGACAAACAACCAATTTCATCACGTAGCAACATCCTTACCCATTTCGGTCGCCCATTTAGGTCTTGCGTTTCCCTGTGAGATCCGCTGCTGCTTAGTTCAGCCCTCACCTTCTGTAGACTACAGCAGGCAGCAGGCTCCTCACTGCCTCTGCCTACAGGCTGCCACCCGGCTGCGGACAGCCTCTCACCTCCTCAGTGCTTCCCTCAACACCTGTGATCACCCAGACACCTTAACTTAATGTCCTAGGATGCCCTCTGCATCCTGACCCCTAGGTGCCTTTCATGCTTCTCATCTGCTGCTTCCAGAGTCGAGCGGTGCCTCACACCTGGGGTCCTCCCTGCCTGCCTTCACTTCACTGTGTTCTCACGCTCTGTACACACATCGCTAATATTTTTATTTTTTTAAGAATCACTTACCAGCAGATGGTGTAATGGCTACATCGTTGGACTCCCATGCAGTCGACTGTGGTTCAAGTCTCATATCCAGCAGCTTAAAACTCATGCCAGGAGTGTATGCATGTGTGCCCAAAATCTCAGTTAATAGCATTTCAGTAGTAAGTCCCTTTGGAAATTGCCACTTTTTGGCAGAATGGAGAAGAGTTTGCAGCATGGCCATCTCCCCCAGGGGGTGATTTCTCACTTCCTGTCTCTCTGGTGAGCACATGCACCCTATAGTAAAAATCTCTCAAAAAATAATTATTTTATTTTATTTGTAACTGGGCACATGAATGAGAGAGAGAGAGGAAGTGAGAAAGCAAGCCGCCAGGTCTGGGACTGGAACTAGAGTTGGCCATATGGGAGTCCAGAGCCCTTAACCACCACACCACCTGTCAGTCCCATTCTCTAACATTTTTTACACTGTAACTATAACTTGAAACAGAAAAATAAAAAATTAACAAAATTTCACTGTATCAAATTTACTCCTAGGTCCTAAATTTTAGCCAATTTACTGCTTAAAAAGCAAAGCCAGTCAGCCTCTCATAGAGAAGCGGACAGCCCTGCCAGCATCCCTGACACCGCACCCTGGACTGACCTGGAAGGGGAGGACAGCTGGTTCTCTTTGCCTGACTGCCCGCCTTGGCTAGAGGTCGTGGTGAACCGATAAAGGCTGCAACTACTATCTTCAAATGTAGGTTTTTTGTCTTTTCCAAAGACTCTGGTTGAAACTGCTTCAAATACTTTGTAGTCCATAAGAGCTTGACACACTCTCACCACTTTGGCCCGAGGAATCTCCACATCACCGAAATACTTATTCTGAACGAGGTGAGAAAAAATGACATCCACAGCTTCTGAGCCGATGAAGCAGTCGCTGTGACGCTGAAAGCGGTGCCTCCGCCTTTTCACCTCCACCTGCGTTTGCAGTGCGTGTACAATGCTGCCCCACACGTATGTGGCCCCGAATGGCTTCTGGGCCACACTGAAACCTAGAAGGGAAACAGAGAAACAGTGACTTAGTGCTTCATTCATCTATAACAAGGGGTAAGCTCTCTCTCAAAACGTGGCAATTCCCGAAGGGGCTCACTGCTGAGATGCGGATGCTGCCTGAACCCGCTGGACAGTCAGCCCCTGCCGCGCGCCACGCTGCTGTTAGGACACGGTGCGAGGCCAGTGCTCACAGCCTGCATGCTGCGGGGAGACACAGTCCATACGTAGGTGTAAGATGGAAGCAGAAACGCATGCCGGGTAAGGAAGAGAATGCTACTGCAAGTGAATGTCAGGAGAGGCCTCTCCTATGGGCTGTACCCAGCAGAAAGCTGAGGAAGCGAAGCAACTGCAGGTTTCTGGGAAACAGAGAGAGGAGCAAAGGCCCTGAGGGGAGTGTGACCAGAACAGGAAGGGGCAGGCATGGCCGGCTAGGACAGGAAGGAGCGCAGACACTGAGACCCACAGGGAAGGGCGCTGAGGCTTGAGGGCTGCACGGACACAGAGCAGGTGGGACCTGCGGTAGTGACCAGTCCTGTGCAAGGAGCTCCAGTGAGCGCCTCCCAGAAACTGCCCTCGCTTCCTCCCGCAGCAGCCCTGAGGTCAGCATGGCCTGCCTGAGAGCCGCAAGCAGACATGGGGCTCTGTGCGATGTGTAGACACTCCGCGGAGCGTGGCAGTCCTGGGGTCGGGCTCAGGTAACTTCGAAGCACTTAGAGTCATGCACAAACCTGCACCTGATGTGAGAATAAACGGATGTTTTTAAAGCTTGCTATTCCGCAGGTGTGTGAGTTAGTACTTGGTGAGCCGGGGAAGTAACCAATTGGTCCCTGCCCGTGAAAAGCTTATACACTGTAAAACTAGAGCAGGCACAGAGCCAAAGCGGTACTTAGCCGAACACAGCAGGAAAGCACACTCCCGAATTCTCCCACATTTCCCTCGTAATGCGCCTATAGTTAGCAATCAGAAGTGAACAAATGAGGGCTTGGGCTTTAAAAAAAAAAAATAGAATTACTAATTTTAAAATTATTATTATTATTTTTTAATTTACTAGAGGGCGTGTGTGCTCATCAGAGAGAAAAAGAGAGAGGGAGAGAGAGAGGGGAAGTGAGAAAATTAGGCTGTCAGGTCGACCAGAACCACAATCTGCCATGCAGGCATCTGGCGGCGCCTGCACCACCACACCACCTGCCGGCCTGGACTTGGGTTTTAGGAAACTGATGGGGTGGAGTCATGCTAAGGAAGCACGTGGAGGCCCGACATGCAGTGTGCCCTTCAAGTGTTACTCTTTCCGAAGAGCCCCTGAAAATTCAATACTTCTATTTGTTTTTAAATTACTCATCAGCGACAGACAGAAAGAGTGAGAAAGCACCCCAATGAGGGCCTGGTCACATCACACCCCCTTCTCTACTTCTGCATCCCGTCGGCACTCTGGGCACACTTGCCTGGAGTACTCCTCATGTCTATGGGCCCAAGACTTGAACCATGGTGGTCCTGGCTCCCCTAACCACTAAGTTACGGGGCTGGCCCAGCAGTTCTCATTTAAGTTGCTATTTTTTTTTTTTTTTTAATTGGAGAGGTTTTTGCTATAGGGCGTGTGTGCTCACCAGAAAGACAGAGAGAAGCAGAGACAGAAAACGAGAAATCACCCCCCTGGGGAAGATGGCCATGCCACAATCCCTTCTCCTCCATTCTCCTCTTGGGATCTTGGGCACGCACCCACACGCACCCAGCGTGAGTTTAAGCCACTGGGTCCGGGACTCAAACCGTGATCGACTACGTGGGAGTCCAGTAACATAGCCATTACGCTAACTACTGGTCCCCAAGTTGCTATTTTTAAGTGTATTACTTCCTTTATTTTTAGGATATTTTGGCAAAGAAACTGAAAAGTTACTGTTTCCTTTAAGATAGTCTACAAGGGAAAATGATTTGCGTCAGTATAACAGTAAGATATAAGGGAGAATATAAGAAACTGTTCCTTGAAATTACCTTCCTACTTTTTAGGCAAAATACAATGTAAGATCAAAGAATAACAGCGGTTCCTGAAGGAATTAAAGCTTAACACTGAATGTACTGAGCCATGCATTTTACAAGTGGGTCATTTGGAATTCATCTCTTACACTGCAATAAACGCAGGCACACAGGGAAGCACTACTGTATTCACTCGCAACATAACTGTGTAGCTTCCAGCAATTTAAACATCCTTACCATGAGGGACCAGCAGTTAGCATAATGGCTATGTCGCTGGACTCCCATGTAGTCGACTGTAGTTCGAGTCCCGGACCCAGTGGCTTGAACTCACACTGGACGTGTGTGCGTGCGTGCCCAAGATCCTGAGATGAGCATGGAGGAGAGGGGATTACATCGTGGCCATCCCCCCGGGAGGTTGATTTCTCGCTTTCTGTCTGTTTCTCTCTGTCTCTCTGGCGAGCACATGCCTCTGTAGCAAAAATCTCTCTCAAAAAAAAAAAAAAAAAAATCCTTACCATGAAAACTGTGCATGCACAAACCCAAAGCTCTTTTTTGTTCATTTCTGTATTTCTGATACTAAGAGCAGATGGGAAATTCACCATCTACCCATTACTGTGTTTGTTTAAAATTATTAGGAATATTTTTTTAATTATGAAATAGTATTTTAAAACTGACTTTTTTTTTTTTTGAGAGGTTTTTGCTATAGGGCACGTGCACTCGCTAGACAGAGACAGAAAGTGAGAAATCACCCCTCGGGGGAATGGCCACACCACAATCCTCGAGTCCTCTTGGGATCTGGGACATGCACACACACGTGCCCGGTGTGAGTTATAAGCCACCGGGTCCATGAATCAAACCACAGTCGACTACATGGGAGTTCAGCAACATAGCCATTACGCTAACTGCTGGTCCCAAAAATGAAGATATTTTAAGTCAATAATAGAGAAGAAAGTAACTGTTGCCAGCCGTCTAAATACGTGCGTGGTGTCAAGAACTGAGTTATGGAGAATAACTCAAGCTGAAACCGACTGACCGCTGGTACAGTGTGTAGTCTCTACCGAGCAGAGCCGGAGTAAAGCCTTGTGGGCTCAGCCCAGGTCACTCGTGGTGCCTGGGCCTCAGGAGCACTTCACACTGTTTCTGGCCACAGTGACTGAGAATGTCAGCACACCAGGCATATCTCAAAGTGCCCGAGACTGGACGGGCGCGAGGGCGGCCAGAAGAGCAGCGCTCCCCTCTCGCCATCTCTCGGTGCACGTGCACGTGCTCCAGCCAGATGAAAACAAGTGTGTGGGCCAGCTGGGGTGAAGGCAGCTGGCTTCCCACGGTTCACTACCTGGTTTGAGTTATGAACCCAGCAGCTTAAAAAACATGCTGGGTCCACGTGCATGCACGCTCAAACTCCCGAAAGAAGAAACCGAGAAGGGACTGTGACATGGCCATCCCTCCCGGGGTGCTTTCTCACTTTCCCTTTCTCTGTGTGTGTGTGTGTGTATCTGTCTCAGGCAAGAGTATGCACTTAACCAAATGGGGGAAAAAAGAAAAAAGACAAGTGTGTTAGCAGTTAGTACTCTTAACTCCCTAAAATATCAAGGATATAATAGATTTAAATTAATGTCTACCTTTCATCTTTTCCAATCTTGTGTTATTACTAACAATCGCTAACACAAGTACTTAACGATGACGGGTTTTGTCTGCTCTCATTTAATCCCGATACATTTTCTGTAAAAGTTACGAATAATCCTCTTTTTATTTTTCTTTTTTTCTCTTTGGAGAGGTTTTTGCTATAAGACGTGTGTGCTCACCAGAAAGACAGAGAGACAGAAAGCGACAAATCACCCCCCAGGGGGGATGGTCATGCTGCAATCCCTTCTCCTCCGTTCTCCTCTTGGGATCTTGGTCACGCACGCACACGCACCCGGCGTGAGTTTAAGCCACTGGGTCCAAGACTCGAACTGCAGTTGACTACATGGGAGTCCAGCAACATAGCCATTACACCAACTACTGGTCCCTAATAATTCTCTTTTGAGGAAATGGAAGCTTGGGGAGTTGAACAAACTTGGTCTCTTACACAGCTGGTACATACATAGTAGTTTTCCTAGTGCTCAAAAGTAAACATTAAAAGTCAGAGCAGCCGATGGGACTAGCAGGTGGCATGGTGGTTAAGGTGCTGGACACTCCCACAGGGCTGACCATGGTTCAAGTCCTGGTGGCTTGAACCATGAATCTGGTGGCTTCTCTCTCCTCCCCACAACTCCCGTAAAATTAAAATAAATGACTGAATAAAAAAAAATTAAGTAAATAGTTCTTTAAAAAAAAAAAAAAAGCCAGACCAGCTGGTATGACACAGCAGAAATGCAAGTGCCCTCCCTGCAAGGCTGGAGGCATTGTGGCCAACCGTGGGTTCAGATCCCTGGGTTGGCCTGAAACACACACAGGTGCAGGTGAGTAGCCAGGATATTAAGGAGCTGGGGGACTGGGAACAGGGATCGTTTCATGACAATACTCTCCTTGTAAACGCGTGTCACTATCATTCAGTCAGCCACCAGACATACAGCTTTAGCATTAACGTTTGGTTGGATTTGTGGATTAATTAGAGTTGAGAGAACCAAAGTGATTAGAACAAAACGGACAACTCCTGGATTTCTGATCTGTTAACCAAGCTATCTAAAAATGTTGTCACTACTCCTAAAACAAGGTAGGACATCGTGAAATCTGCATAAAATAACAGAACAGAACTAAGACAGGAAAGGAAGGCAAGCAAGAGCCAGACTTGCACAGATCAGACTGTTTTTTTTTTCTTTTTAAAGAATTATTTAACTTTGTCATTATTTTTTAATTTGACCAAAGAGACAGAACAAAAAAGGAAAGTGAGAAAGAAAACTGCCAGGTCTGGGACTCAAACCAGAGTCAGCCATGTGGGAGTCTAGTGCCTTAACCACCAAACCACTTGCTAGTCCCCCCTCCCCTCCAAGATTTTTTTTAAGAGGTTTTTGCTATAGCGCGCGTGCGCTCGCCAGAGAGAGAGAGA